GGCAGGGACCGAGCCTCCCCGGCGGCTGGCGGGGGACGCGGGGACCTCAGAGCACCGTTCCGGGACCCGGGAGCCTCTGCAGCCCCTGTGCAGCGTCAGTGCAGCCCCCCCACCAGCAGGTCCCAGGGCGCGGAGCTTGCAGGGGTAGGGAGGTTCCCAGCCCCACACTTCAGTGAGCTCGGGCATCGCCCCGGGACTTCTCCCTCAAGTCCGCAGCTTCTTCCAGGCGCCCCAGACGCCGCCGGATTCCTCTGGCTACGGCTCTCTGTGTCCGGGCCTAGGAACCACACGGGCGCCCGCCCCAGGCCAGCGGCGCAGGGTCCTGTCTCCTCTGAACCTGTTCACTTGGCCAGTCAGCCCTCGGAGCGCTGTCACTTCTCCTCACAGCAGCAGAGCCCAGCAAACTTTAAAGTCACCTTTCAGCCTCTCTCCAGTGGCCCCCTAGCTTTCTCCTGAATCTACACCCTGCTTTTCGGAAAAATCACAGTTTTAGTGCACTTCTGCTCGTGACCCTGAATGACCCCGGCCCTGTGTCTCTCGTATTTTGTTAGGGTTTAAAAAGCTCTCGAAGAAAATAGACTTTTCAGTAAGTAAAATTCTTGTAGGTAAAGAGTAAAGGAAAACAGACTTTTTATTTAATTTTTCATTTTCCCAATCAGGGCTGAAAGCTTGGCAACGTTTATTGTTATAAATTCAGAGAAAATTAACCTGGGATAAAGGATGCAGGGCAGTAACAGAATCTTACATACATTTATTTATTGGGTCAACTGTTTTCAAATTTTTTTGTTGTAAGCACAACTCAGACCTACTTAAAATCATGTACCATTCATCTCCTTTTTAACAAAATTGGTTTCTTTTCATTGAAATCGAAGCTGTATGCAGTGAGCTCTTTGTGTGTGCACGCTAAGAATTATGCCAGGTACTATTAAAAAGTGTGGTATGTAATGCTTGGAGTGAACCTTTTAATGTGTTATATCTCCCATTTTAAGCCAGATATGTTTGCACACATCTGCAATCTCAGCTCTTTGGGAGGCTGAGGCAGGGGATTGGAAGTTGCATTTCACCCTGTGCAATTTAACCAAAGACCCTACGTCAAAACACAATAAAGTAAAAAGCTTAGCTTTCCCAGAGCACATGAAACCCCATGAAGCCCTGCGTTCCGTACTGGCACTAAAAAAAAAAAAAGAAAATAGCGTTTCATATTTGAGCAAATAAATAAATTATTTTTCTTTTTAAATGAGTCATTCAAGGCTGCAAAGGAATAAATATTCAAGTGTGGACTTCCACTAAGTCAGTTCTACCCCTTAGGGCTAAGTTTATTGAAGCCCCAGGAGAGGTAGCAACCATATTTTAATAGATAGCTGAGTTAGGTAGAAATGCTCTGGGCAGTCAGACAGGGCTGGGCCCATGAGAGAGACAGTGAGGGAGCCAAGAGCATCACAGCTATGGCTGGAGGCTCATTCACTAAAGGCTAGGCCTAGAGTCAAAGCTGGGATGACCAGGCCTATGTGCCTCCCAAGGTATGAACAAGATACTGTACTATAAATGGTCTTACCTGCTCTATCAGTCACCAAAGGGCGTGGCCAGGACCTCCTGATTCATGTCTTCCTGAAAAATCCTTGTTCTTTTCGTGTACACTTGCTGTGCAGCCTGCCTCTCTGTTGGATCAATATTTCCTAAACAGCTGCTATGGCTTGTTTCTAGATGTCCCCCAAAGCCTCATGTAGCTTTTCCAGAGGTGGCTGAATCTGGAGTGTGTGAGGCTGGGATTGATTCATGGGGCAATGCTAGCACTGGGGTCAAGGGCACTGGAAAGTCCTACTTGCCCTGAGTAGCCTGGGTAATTTAAAGGGGCAGAATGACCCTGTTAAGGTCCTTTTTCTTTGCTTGCTTTTGCTACCCTGTCTGCCATGGAACTTTTCTCCTCTGCCACACCACCCTGTCTTGGAGCCAGCCAACTGTGCTCTGAAACTCCTACAAACTGAGAGCTAAATAAACCTTTCCTCCTTTAACTTCAGGTGTTGGGCATTTTGTCTCATCAATGAGAAAAGTTACTAAGAGGGAGACTATTCATCATCCTTTTGGTTGACCATGGTTTTGTCCCACATTGTGCCCACCTTGTAATTTTGTATTCACCTCATTGTTTTGCTCTATAAAACTTCCTTGGTAAAGTGGGGTCCATGGCAACCCACTTTTGGATCCCCTCCTATCTCTCCGGAGCTATCTTTCTATCTCTCAATAAAATATTTCCTATTCTTAACCTCCATTGTTCCTTAGAGTTCATTCTTATATTTTGGGGAATACAGATTCTGTGTATCTGGCATCTAGCAGTTTGGGAGTTACATTTATTTCCTCTACATCAGTCGGAGGCCCAAGTGAGGAAATTGGAAGGAGGTAAGATAAGAGTTCGCTTTTGTATAATGGGATTCTGGATTATGACTATGTTTAGGTAATCAGAAATTTTCATCCTTGCTTGGCAGCTGCTTTTGCCTTGTCTTTTTTTTTTTTAAACACATTTTTTGGTTAAAGAGATAGTAAATTGAAGTTGAGAACACGGGAAGATTATGATATTCCTTTGATGGGACATTTTACTTTTACAGCAACGACCTTATATTCCTATTTTGTATATGTTGCATGTGGGCTTACTAGTTGCTGAATTTATTGGTGCCATTGGTTGACATGTTTGACTTGTTTTGACTGTTCTGGTTTTGCTATTTTATCTTAGACAACAGTGCTAAGGAAAGGTAAAGTTGGAGCATTCCTTAGTGAACTTTGATATTAACCAAAATGTGAATTTATGAATTGCAGTAAGATGGGTCTTTTATGAAATCTGGTTTGTATATAGGACATATACATGCCTATTAATAAATCATGCAATGTCAACTGCCAGGTTAAAAGACAATAGGCCAGCAGCCTTTCTTAAGACTCGGAGGCAGGTTTCACTGGGACAGTATAGCCTCTACTCTACTCTCTAGAGGAGAATCTGGAGCCTGCTCTGCCTCAGTTTTCTTTCTGGTTTGATCTTGCACTGGTGGGGAGGCAGTCTTAGTTCTTGAGATTTCCCCACTCTCACCTTTTCAGGCTGAGGGTGATGACTTGTGGGCAAATTTTCTCAATAACTCCCTTTGCACATGAGAAGAAAAGACTTCCTTTTTCTGACCTCATTTCTGTATTTTCCTGTTACTTTGTACTTTCCTTTTTTGAAGGCATGTTTTTGCTGAAGATTAAAGAGGGAGGAGCCCTAAACTGTCTCAAATGTTCTCTCCTATCCGACAACTAAGAGCTTTTAAATTGAGCCCATAGAAAATGAGCATTTGCTAATGCTGAAGACAGGTAAGTCGTCTTAGGTGAGGAACACAGACCCTGTCTCTGGGTCAGATGAGACATCAGAATCTTGCCCACCCAGGACAGCACACATGAAAGCATACCTCTGAACCAGTCTGGAAAGATGTAATATTAATCTTAAATCAGCCACTGCCTTCTAATGAGAGACATAGTGTTACAAACTGTTATTACATTTGGAGATAAATATCATATTGTTAATTTTAGGAGACCAAAAGATAGGAAGCCAGGGTAACAGCCAGTTCCTACTGGAGCCCATACAGTCCCTACACAAGACCTCTACTGGCCAATCAAGCAGACAAGACATTGGAATAGGAGACATCTACAGATACGTATTCTTGAAGGTCTAAGAAGGATGAGAACCAAGCCCTTCACTTATTTTAAATAGTCCGCTATTCATCAGGAAAAAAAAAATGAGAACCTTCTGCCTTCTTAGATCATTTACAAGAGGAATTGATGAAACACACATCCCTGGTTTCTGATTCAGTAGAAGAACAGATTATTCTTAAAGACAGGTTTATTAGTGAGTCAGCTACGCATATGAGAAAAAACTACAAAACATGGCTTTTGTTCCAGACAACTCAGTTGATACTTTAATGACAATTTCCTTCTCAGTATTTTATATTTAAGAACAGGAGGAGGCCAAGGGAAGAAAACAGAGACCAAGAGAAAATGGCAGCCATGGTTGAAAGCTTAGAAGGAGTAGACTCTAAGTCTGATTCTCAGTGCTCCCAGAAGAACTAGATGTCTAAACTTATCTGTTACTGCTATGGAAAACCAGGCCAGCTAAGGAAGGACTGTGATAAAAACTGTCACAAGAGGCCCCTGATTGCAGAGTTGACCGCTGGATGTCAGAGTGGTCCCTGAGATAGAACTTCCAGGGAGCAGACCCAGTAAGTTGGTCCAGTAAGACTGAAGGGCCCAAAGAGCTATGTGCCTTCTCCCCCTGACTAGATTGTCATCTCCATAGAGGAATCCTGGGTAATTATGATTATAAAGGGATGAATTGGTTGGTTTTATTCATAATGTCTTGTTGATCTTAATATGTGGGCCTTTATGCACTTCACTGTTTCTTTGGCCTT